ATCAGGAAACAGAACAATCATATTAACGGACTTTTAACTAGTTAGCAAAAATTAATTTAATCTGCTCAGTACTATGAGAAATATGTTCTCAATTATGTGTTTAATTACATATTTTAAAATATGATACATATTTAGGAAAGAAAAGCACACGGGCATAGCTGACTGTGAGGCATTTTTATTTCAGAGCTTGATGAGACTTATGGTCGCCTGTCAGGAGAACTAAGACGGAGAATTATGACATTAAAGCAGAGAGTTGTCACTCAAGTGAACAGGATTAAAGCTCTGCAGAGCAGCATCCAGGAACAAGTGGTGGAGATGAAGCGCTTGGAGGTAGGTGGCTGCCATGCCCTTCCCATTCTCTCCAGTGCTTAGCTACAGAAAGGGGAGCTGTGCGTTGTGGTGAGCAGTGCTCCTGCTGGGAGAAAACATGGTGCAACTCTCACAGCACCTGACTTGCTGAGACAAATCCCCAAATGAGTTGCTGCCTATCCATCCTGATTTTCTACTTCTGCTCTGTAGGAACCAGCATGAGTTACATGAGTTTCTAGTCCCATCTACTGCTTCTCTCTCAGGTCACAACCATGCTCCCTCTGCTGATAACTGCTTCTGTATGAGGCGTTTCTCCTCCTGCAAGGAGCTGCTGAGTAGTTGGAAAAGGGATGTGCTCTGTCAATCCCCAGTGCTGCCACTGCTGCCCACAGCTAGGGTGGGTATGAGAACCTGTGTTCCCAGGTTGCAGACAGTTCTGATGGTAACGCAAGGAAAAGTCATGGCACCAACAGTGGTTTTTATCAAAGGCTCATTTTGATTCCTAGAACAGAAACCCATCATTTGGGTCATTTGAGAAAGCAATGGTAACCCCATGACAGAATCTTCCACTCTCAGCTGTAGGTGGGAGGTACTAGGGCAGCTTTCATCTTTCCCCTGCTCAGTAGAAGATATCCTTGCTTGAGAAAGTTGGGAAAGCTCCCTAACCAAATTACTTCTCTCTGGTAATGTAGGTGGACATTGATATTAAGATACGAGCTTGCAAAGGAACCTGTGCTAGAAGTTTTGATTACAAGGTGGACACAGAAAGCTACGACAACATCCAGAAGCAGCTTGTCCAAGCCAACTCCATCAACTTGCACCCAGAGCTTCAAACAATCCCCTTGAGCACACTGAAAATGAGGCCACTTAAGGACTCTAATATTCCTGATCATTTTAAGCATAAGCCTCTCCCAGAAATGCAAGCTCTGAACATAATTAATGACATCAAGCAGATGGAAGTGGTATTAGAAAGACCAGAAGCAGACACGAAACCCTCCCGAGGCGACAGCTCGTATCGCACGGCAGAAGCAAGGGGGGATGAATCTTCATACCCCAGCAAATTAGTTTTTCCCACCCATGGGAGAGAAACCGTAAGTCTGGAAGACAAAACCTCCTCTGCTGTTCGTAGATGCACCAAAACTACCACCAGAAAAGTGGTCTCTGGGCCTGATGGCCCTAGAGAAGAAGTATTTGAGAAAACAGTCTCTTCTGATGGCTCAGACTGCGCCTATTTACCTGGAAATGTTGGAGGGGAAGGGACCACCTACCATTTTAGTGGTGCAGATGCCGTGCACAAGCTAGAGACTGTATTCCCTGAGCTAGAGTCATTTTTTACCCCCGACTCTCCATCCGCTGCTACTAAGCACGTTAGTGGATCTAGCAGCTTCACTACCAGCAAACACACAGGCAGTAGCCACATAGGTACAGGAGCTTATGGGGGAAAAGTCAAATTTGGAGACTTAGGAGAGGAGGAAGAAGATGACTTTGGAAGACTTCAGCCATCTGGATTCCCATCTGGCAGTGCAAGTCACTCCAAGACTGTAGCAACCAGCTCTTCTAGTTTCAAGAAGGGAGGCTCTACTTTTGAAACCAAATCAGTAAAGATCCGTGAAATAAATGAGCAGCTAGGTGGGTTGGAACACGATCAGAGTGCAGAGGATACCCCAGACTTTCAGGCACGCAGCTTCAGATCGTCAGGAGGGAAGCGAAGGACACCCAGCACTGGGAAAGGTAGTTATTGAGGTAATGGAGCCAAACTCCATCCATAACCAAACTGACACATTGATTTTAGATACTGTAGTACAACAGTGTGATGATTAAAGTGCAAGCACTGTGTCTGTTTGTTACCACCTCAGAAACAAAAGGGAAAATATTTCATTAATACTCAGGTATTACATAGACAATTCACAATGTAAGAAATACGTAAAGTTTTCTTTCCTGAATTCTTTCTAATGTTGCCTGTCACTACACCTAGCATAGTCCAAGACGTGTTTAACACTTTTCCTCTGAGCTATTGGTATTTGGATTCCTCTGAACCTTTTATTAAATTTTGCTGATAACTTCTGTCAAACCAGATCAACTTTTTTTTTTAGACTGTGATGATATCCGCCAGAAACACACTTCTGGTGCCAAAAGTGGCATTTTCAAAATCAAGCCAGCGGGATCCAATAAGGTTTTGTCAGTTTATTGCGACCAAGAGACCACTTTGGGAGGATGGCTATTGGTCCAACAAAGAATGGATGGATCAGTGAATTTTAACCGCACCTGGCAAGACTACAAGAAAGGTTTCGGCAGCGTGGATGGCAGGGGGCGAGGAGAGTTGTGGCTGGGCAATGAAAACCTGCACTTGCTGACTCAGAATGATACTGTGCTGCGGGTAGAGTTAGAGGACTGGGATGGGAATGCAGTGTTTGCAGAGTATCTCGTGCAGGTAGGGTCTGAAGCTGAGGGGTACACCCTGGCCGTGTCCTCCTACGAGGGCACTGCCGGGGATGCCCTGGTGGCTGGCTGGCTGGAAGAGGGCACCGAGTACACCTCCCATGCCCAGATGAAGTTCAGCACCTTTGACCGGGACCAGGACCACTGGGAGGAGAATTGTGCCGAGATGTATGGGGGGGGCTGGTGGTACAACAGCTGCCAGGCTGCCAACCTCAATGGCATTTACTACCCGGGCGGCCACTACGACCCCAGGTACAATGTCCCCTACGAGATCGAAAATGGCGTAGTCTGGCTGCCATTTAAAGCCTCTGATTATTCCCTAAAAACTGTTAGAATGAAAATCAGGCCCATAGAAACGCTGTAGAAAGACAGGCCTTTAATGCGTGTTATGACTACAAGTTGAAAAGATTTTTTTATACATGCATGTATGATGAACCTTTACCCTGTGAATCTGAAGGCAACTGAGCACATTTGGAGATTAAAAAATAAAAAATGATTAATTATCAATGAGACTTTTTTGATTTTGTTTTTAACTGACAAGGAAATATTGATTTAAAAACCCTTTTGATATGAACTTTGTCCATGTCTTTGGCAGCTCACACATTGACTTGAGTTAAAAAATTTTAATTTGAGTTATTTACTTTGTTTTAGGAATATTAAAGAAGTAAAAAGATTTAGAAATATGTTCACAACAAGATCCTGCCTCCACTGACATGGACTGTGAAAAGTCTAACCAAGTTCAACATTCACACTCTCATTTCCATTTTAAGGGGACTACAATAGCAGTGGGAGCCAGGTCTCAGACAGAACCAAGGATGGTGTGGGTTCTCATTTCTGTCACACACCCAACATGGAGTACAGTTTGATAAAGAATGCATGCATTTTAGGACTGACTTGTAAGAATCTCCTAAGCTTTGATTTTATAAATATGGACATGGATCGACCATCCCATTGATGAAACCTAGATAGCTTATCATGCATACTAGTAGCTTCAAAATAAGACAATTCCATGATAACTCATCAAAATGCAATTCTCAAAGCAGGCTATTATTTTCTAGCAATCACTAAAAGGTTATGACTAACCAGACCAAGCAAGATGAGGAACTACCTGAATATTTCTCAGCACAGATGCCAAACAAGAATTCTTCTAAGGGGTTTAAATCAGCTTGCTGACAGTGTGTGCTAAGGATCTTCTAGAAAAAAGCTGGTTGCATGGAATATCAGTTATATTGGTCACACAATTACAGAAGACCACATTGTATTTACCTTTATACTTTATGGCATAAATTACACAAGTATTTACACTGAGTAATATTTCTGTGCTTCTAGAAAGAGGCATGAGCAAACTTCCTTACCTCTAATCTCACTGACGTGTTGCATACCATTTAACAAGATCATCAAAGGCAGCTCACTTTTAGGTTTTTTTTCCGCACTTCTCAAATACAACCACTGTCTGCTCTTTTCAGAAAGACTGCTGAAGAGCAAAGATATCTTTACACTCATGTGTGAGGAGGGGTCTGTGCTTTTGGAAAACAGGTTTCCACTTGCACATTCAGTTTTTGTTCCTTAGCCTCAGTGGAAGCCTGCCTGTGTGGATGCTGAACATCCATGTGCTCCTCTAGTGAGAAGCTGCCATTATGTCTCTTTCTTGTCCTCCTGGGCTTCGCAGATTAAATAAACACTAAAGGTTTCAGGTGGAATCCATCCACCCCTACTGATCTGGGTCCCTTTCTTTGTGGAGGAAGGCAGACCCCTTTGAGATGTTCATCCTGTCTGCCAGGACTGGGCAGTCTGGTCTTTGACTGCTCAAGGGAACACAGACTACTGGGTTTGACGAAATACTCAACCTCCACTCCTCTGTGACTGGGGACATTTATTACTCCAGTCCCATCATAGGGATTGTATGAAAGCACATATGTGTGAAAGCAAGTACATGACCAGGTCCCAGAAAAGGACATATTTTATTCAGCAACAGGATTTGAGCCAAGGGACCAGTCACCTACTGGTTTGTTCAATACTCTTTCCACTTTTACTCCTTCTCAACTTGTTACACAGGTAGCTACTGTTACTTTTATAATACAAAAGAATAAAACTGCCTCTTATTTAGTGGAATGCATTTCCTTCTCCCCAGATCATGCATGAATACTTAAGAATAATTTGAAGAATACTTTAGTTTTAAGATTTCATTAGTTTATAGAAAACACTTAGAAATAATCCTCCCCTCTTAAAAAAAGATACAAAAGACCTTTGTAAAAGAGTGAAACAAGTTGGTTTTATTTTATCAGTGTTATTCTATAATAGTTAATTCTGTCTTATGCACAAATGAAAAATGGGAAAAATACACGGGTGAGTTATTTTCATTGGACAGATTTAGATTTATATTTGACACAGCTTTTCACTTTAGGTCACAATATGGTTGTACATAGAGATTGGGTTCTCATATGTAAAGATAAGACTGAGTACCATGCTAAAAAGACAACCACGTACAAATACTAAAAGAAAATTCCTGATTCTGTACATTTTGATAATGGTTAATGTGGAAAGTATGGCCGGATTTTCATGCTCATCTTCTTCATTGAATACCACGACCCTTTCCAGTTCATCCATACGACACCATCATCGGTGCCGTGTTTTGCCATGTCCCAGCTGTAGGTCCCTCCCCAGTAGTATCTGCCATTGGGGTTGGCTGAGTGGCAGCGGTTGTACCACCATCCACCACCATCTTGTTTGGAGCACTGTTTGCTTGGGTCTGCAGTTAACCTGATGAGGGGAAAAAAATAAAAAGGCATTGAGAGTGACATCTGTAATACAGGCAAGCAGATCGACAGAGTACATATACCTGCCTGTGCGCTGAAATTTTCAAACCATAATAAACAATTTAAGTCCTCTCTGAACTTTCTATAAGGGACTGACCATCACAAGTACTACACAGTGCACTCAGAAGATAAAGCAGCTAAGAAAAATCAAAATTTAATTGCACCTCTTGGGGAATATCATTTTAGTTTACTGATTGATAACTGTGATTATTTGCAGTTCATAATGATAAGTACAATATCAATGAAATTTAAAGATAGAAAGCAATGAGAAACGTATGTCTTCCCCAACCTAAACAATTCCTTTATTCATGAATAGGTAATCAGGTATTAAGCACAGGTTAGAGACACAGTACTCCATTATATACTTTACAACTGAGCTCCTGTCTTCTGAGTAGGCAGAACATTTCTTTTTAAATGGACATGCTACCTGCTTTTTCCTTCAGGATCCATTATATTTTTATGGAGTAAGTACCAATATTCCTGCTTAGTGTCCTCAGCATTGCTGCTGTCAGTCTCTGACTATGAATATATTGCATCCAGATTTGCTACCTGTTGTCCTGTAGTTTTTTTTGTTTTGTTTTGTTTGATTTTTTTGTTGTTGTTGTTGTTGGTAAGTCATTAATGGAAGCAATATGTTTGCTTCTTACTTGGTTGTAGACTGTCACTAACCTAATATATAGTTTCACCTGGCTTTTGGCTATGCCAAGAGAACTCCATAGACATTGAGCTGGTAACTTGCAGGGACATAACATATTTTGACATGCTACAAAATGCTGTGAAAACGAATGGCAAATTACAGAAATATTATATATCCAGCTCTATTTTTATTTTAAATGTCTAGTGCAAGTACATACCATCCATCATTGTCTCTGTCATAAGTACTGAAGTACATGCCATTGTGAATGGTCATTGTCCTGTTTTCTCCATGTAGTTGGGAAGCTCCGTCCATCAGTGCATTGCCTGCAGTGCCTTTGTAGTTACTAACTGAAAGCTGATACTTGTTTCCTTCATTCTGTATGGTGAAACCTCCATAATGAGCCGATACTTTATCACCATTCCAGTCCTCCATTTCAATTAGAACTTCAGTGGGCCCTATTTTGGTAAGCTGGCTTATCTTGTCATTTCCAAGCCAATATTCACCTGAGAAGCAACAAGTGAGAGCTCTGTGAAACAAACTTCGCAATTTACTTCAAGGCAACTTTATTATTTGCCTATAGGTCTGCTGGAGCGGATTAGTTAATTTTAAAAATATCTAAGAGCTTCAAAAAATAGAAGAAAAAGGTTTCAGTAAGAACAGCTCTTTGCATTTTATGCTTGGTGTTTTACCTGGTGTATCACAGTAGTTCTTCCCTCCACTCTTTGCAACATTTCCAAATCCTTTTTTATATTGATCCCATACTCTTCCGAAATTAACACTGCCGTCCTGGCGGTTCTGAATCAGAGTCCAGCCTGCAGAAACAAAAGTATTTAGATTAAATTACCAGTACAAAAGGAGCATCTGACACTAAGATACAGCCCTTTCAACTTCACCTCAGGAGCAGAGGAGCATATGGCTTCCTTGCAGCATGTCCTTTCACTGCTTGTGAGCTCAGCTTTGCCCCTTTTGCTCACACTTAAGTAGAACCTTGCTTCATAAGGAAAGGTGGAAAAAGCAGAACTTGAAGGACAGCCCTGGTCTTTTGTCAAGTGACAGGATAAGAAATGAGCCAGGCTGTCGTTCTCTGCCCACCTATGCACCATCCATGATGGTCATAGTGAGATATATACACAATTTGTTTCCAGTGTCACTATAGAAGTATCCTATTCTGCATCAGCAGATGACCTCAACAAGACTTCTCTGAACAAGTCAATCAGATTTAATTATCAAGTAATTACAAAAGATAAAATTTCATATTTCTTTGTATAAAATACAAATCACTAATTTGATTTTTTGGTAGCATTGGTAAATCAATATTATAACAACATAGTTATTTCACACTAACCTCCATTGTCTGTTTCCATGTCACAGTACACTCTGTATGGCTTGACAAAAGGATCTGGCTGGATGAGGTACATTTCGGATGTCTCACCTCCCTTTCTGATGATATCCTCACATTCTGCAAGAATAAAGCAGATACTAGTACTGAAAGATCTGTGAACATGAACAGTTTTCTTATCTTTTGTTTTGCTGTTATATGGGAGCATTTTAAATTATCTATAGATAATATTTTACTTTCATTTTGATTTCTGTAATACATCAAGTGAAAGAATCATGGAAGAAAGAATACTGCACTACGCAGCTTTTCCAAAGAGGAATTTCTGAAACTTCAAACTAAGTGATGCAACACTGTATACCTTACAATGACTTCTTGAACTGGACAAGCTTTTGAAAGATGAACCTTTCTTGACTGAAGGAAATCAAGAGTACAGCTAAGATAGTCACAAAAGTATCACTTCCACCTTACAAAGGCCCTGAAGCACATATTTCTTTAAAATCCAACTGGTAACTTATGAAGACTGATATTGGATAAAAGGATCTTTGGTCTGACCAGCATAATCCAGAATTATTTTTTTTTCACCTAGGATTTCCATCTTTCCTAATACCCTAATCAATTGTACAGGCTTCAGATGCATCAATTTACACAGTGACATAAATTGGAGAAAAAATGTCATTAGAGTTGAATGAGTACCTTTGCCTGAAACCACAGGAATATTACAGGAAACAGTACATGGGGAACGGCAGTAGTCCACCTGGGTTGCAATGGCATTTTCCAGTTTCTGTATCTTTTTATGTAAAGAATCCACAACTGCACGAAGGACCCTGAGACTTGATGGGATGTTATTGTCCAGATTATCCTTTATATAATTATACTGCAATTCCACTTCTGTGTTGTACTGAGAAAGTAAATCATCATTGTCTAGAAGAGCAAAGAGATGAAAAGCAGATTAGTTTTCAACATATTTCCCAGTTAGGAAATGAAGAAGAGCAGTTTATAAGTACAATTTGAGGTGCAACTAGGAAGGAAGGCAGGAAGGGCATTTCTTTTGCTTACTTTTCCACAGTGTGCAAAAACTGCAGATACTCTCAGGGAAGTGGTCCATGCATACTGTTGTTTCTTTGCTAGCTAATAGGTTTATCAATGGTGCTTTACTCTGCTGAAGAGCAGTAATTCCCTTCTTTCTGGAGAGCCATGGTGCCAATCCAGAGATTGGTCATAAATGGATTGGATGGACATACGAAAACAGGTAAGGGGAAAATGTGAATGATGTACATTTAGAGGGCTCATAAGAATCTTGCCTTAGCATGAAATCCATTCCTTCGCCTCTCTCAAAGGATGTTTTTTTAAGATTTAAGAGGTCATTGTCACAGAATCCTGCTTTGCTAGATAGTCCATGGTATTTTTAATTTTTTTAAGAAGTCCTACTAAAAAGTAATTGTAGGAATGCCAATAAAACTTCAATACCATCTACACTAGTAGTTCACAGAAGTAGCATACCTTTTCTTTGTTTTTGCGTCTTTACCAATTTATCTTCTAGAACAGTCACATATTCGCGGAAAGTTAAGGAGCTCTCCGAAAGAGAGTTCACTTTAACTTTTAGATCACTAATAACTGGTTTCACTGATTTTTCCTGTTTTAGCAGTAGAGTTCGCAGCTCACATCCAGTTGGACACAGCACTCCCTTAAAAGAAGGAAAAAAGGCTGTGAACAAAAGTAAAGAAGTTCCAGACCCATCCGTGAACAGCCATATCTTTGAAAACAGCAAAGAGTTTGTAATGAGAGAACAGGTATTTAAGCATCTAGATAAGCTTTAACAAACTTCATTTTTTGTTGTGAGCCTCCACACTCAAACTTGTGCTCAGTCACTAAGATGCCTCTCAGCAGTGCTGCAGCTTGCATTTTCCTTGCTGCAGCAGGAATCATGGCAAGGCAGCAAGGGGTGTGCTGGGTGCCAAGCATGCTCGTACGCAGTGAGAGCTGCAGCAATGACTAAGGGTAGAGTAGAATTACATTTTGAAACGAATTTTAATAAAGACATGGGAGGATGGGGTTTTTTTGGTCCCTAGGTTTCCTCAAGATTGTCTGAAACTGAATCCAGCACTTCTGCAGAGGTTTTTCCTGTCCTGAACAACTACCTATGCAAAACCAGGCAGAAGGCACAAGCTAACCCACAGATACTTCCTTTCCTGGTTTACAGTTCAACTCTCATCCCCCCATCTCGTCATTAGTAGGCTGACTCCGCCGCTAATCCCATGGACTCTGACACATCACCCTTCTGAATGCAGTCCCAGCAAACCTAAGCAGAGTGAAGAAAAGCTGGTCTGCTTTAAATGAATGGCCGTGCTTTATTTGGCAAGGGAAACTCCCGCGTGGGGTGCGCTAGAAGGAAAGGGCGCTATGTCACCAGCTGCCTCAGCAGCCAGACACCCACCAGCTCGTCCAGCGCTCGCTGGCAGCCCCCGGCATCAGGATAGACGGTCCGCTCCTTCTTCTCCTCT